GTATTCCATTGCCTCCTCGGAGGCACTGGATGCCCGCTCATGCGAGCTGGTTTTCGAAGCTTGGGCCTCGCCTGGCGAGGTGAGGCCTTGAGACTCGAGGACCTGGAGTCTCTGGTCTCTGTTCAATAGTAGGCGGAGTAGACTCAACTACTGCCGCCTTGGGGGCAGGCGCCACAGCCAATGGCTCGCTCTGCGCAGGCCGAAGGATTGGCGAGGGCTCGTGTGACACTGCCCCCTGGCGCGCCGCATCAGCATATGTGGGGCCATAAATGGCGAGACTCTTTTCTTGCTTCTTTAAATGTAATGTTTTCTTTTATCTTTAAAGTGATGATCTCTTTTTCTTTTTTCCAGAAAGAACCATGAACGTGAGTACGCGGCATGATTTCCGCCACAGTTCACACAGTGTGATGGTCTTCACAATTGTCAGAATTGGTGGCCTGACACTCCACATTGTGCACAAGTTTGGTGACCACGACAGCTTTGTGAGCCGTGGCCATACTTCTGGCATTTAAAACAACGACGCGGGTTAGGTATGTATGGTCTGATCGACGTCTTTGTGTACCCTGTTTGAATACTTTCTGGCAGATTACTGGAAGCGAACGTGAGTATCAGGTGTTTCGTTGGTGTTACCTTGTTGTCTCATCTAATGGTGATCCTTTGTACATTGGTCACATTCTGACTCTTCCACCCCTCCAGAAGTTCTTCTTCAGTCAAGCCGAGCAAATCAGCATCAGATACTACTCCACGGGTTGTGTTCCTCGATCTGCGTGGCGTTACAGTGATGGAAGTGTCACCAAAAGTTGATAGATTCTGTAGCTTTTCAAACTGTTCTTTTTCTCGAACTTCAAGGAGGAGGTCTCCGCTGGCCATTTTGGTAACTTTGTACCCGGCTCCAAGAGTTTCTGTGAGAAATCTGGCTACTACAAGGGGGATACAGTTCTGGCTTGCTTGCTGCTTATCTCACTATGTATAACATGAAAATGGGGGAAGTTTTCACTTGATCGGTTGAAAAAGCCTAAGTCTTCGGTTGCGTACACGCTTTAAGGCGGTACGATCACTTAATAAGGGAAATGCTCTATGCATGCCAGTTTAATTTTCTTCAGAAGCGTTGGCGGCCACCCACCACGGAGCCCAACGAGGGGACGCTACAAGTTTGTGGATGCTAAAACCTGCAGACTCCAGCCGTACAACGCAACTATAGCCCAATGCGCCTAGACCAAGGTAGGCTATTTGCACAGGGTTAACCCTAGCCGCCAGGAAGTTTGGAAGTAAACGGAAGAGAGTAGAAGACAGGACAGATAAATAGTAAGAGATAAAGACGAAGATGTAGGGAGAGGGAGATAGGAAAAGGCGACTGCCGATTTCCCCTGGGTGGGTCAGCCCAGGGGTGCCGTCTACGTGAAGCCGGGGGCCAAAGGGGTGTGTGGCCTCTGCCGGGGGGCCTTAAAGGTCCAATCACCCAGCTCAAACCCCAGGATCCCCTTTTCCCCGGACACGGCAAAGCCACGCACGGCTAGGCGTTGAAGGGAGTAGAAACTCCCCCGTTAGCTCGGGTCTGTGGTGTCGCTACACACCAAACGCCTACTTGCGCAGGCGCCCCTGCGGGGAACCCATGAAGATTAGAGCGCAAGTAATCATTTACAGTAGTTGCTGATTGTTAAAAAAAAAAAGTAACAATTTCAGCACAAGGCCGAAGCAATGAATGCGATAGCAATACATCAGGCTGATATACGAAGTAAGGCTAGGAGATTTAGGAACCATATGAAATGTACTGAACATGGTCGATTGTGCTTGAATAGACAGTAATGCAGTAACCACAGTATCTTGACAGGTGTTGTGAATAGTTGACTGTGTGACGTCCAACAGGAGGCGTAGTCCAAGGTCGGCATCGAGGAACGGGAGAAGCCGCTGGTTTTCACGTCGAAGTACAAACGCTGAAGCTTCCTGTGACTATTACCGGCATGTCCTGTAAGCACACCGCACGGAAGTTGTGCAGCAAGAAGTTAATGACGTCAGTCAGCAAGGTTCCTGGAGAGATGCGCATTGTTGCGATAATGAAGCTGAAGCCGTGCAATGTTTTAATGGCACAAGCATGACCACCACTCATTTGGGGCAGCGACTTGAGTTTTTCCATGATAGTAGCAGTGTGCATTTTGATGAGAACTGAATTCACAGGCATGACAGGACCAGCAACTTCCCAAATAGTCCTGGACTCGATGCGAGCAATTTTTTTTTGTTGCTTCAGAGTGAAAGTGGAGCCACAGGCATCTTGAAATGCCCCTTTCATCCAACTGTATGCGCTTCAGTGAACCCAAACCACCAGTGATCTAGCCATCGGACACTTCAATGTTTATGATGATGATGATTGCTAGTGTTTAATATTCTAAACCACAATGTGATTATGAAAGACACCACAGTGGAAAGCTCCGGAAATTTATTTGAGAATAATATTTTCACTTAAAGGGGCCGTGCGACATTTTTTTCGTGTAGCAATAGAATGCATTCACTAAAGAAGCTTATTTATTGCCTCGAATTCACCGCAGGAAATATTATTAGAATCCGTTCAGTACGGGCGGAGTTGCAAAGATTTCTCACACGCTGCTAGTGCATTTTTTCTTCTCATCCCGACGAAAGCACTGGCAGCTAAACAGGCAGGGATGGCACGAGAAAAGAAAATACGTCACACGTACTTTCTGAGCTTATGGAGTCATTTTCCGAGAGAAGAAAGGAATTTTCAGCTGGCTTTGAGAATTTATTGTGAATCGCAAGCCACGTGCTGCGCTATAATATTTAGCTTGCGTGTCCTCGGTAGCCTCGACTACCGATCAGCAGCGTGTTCTGACAATGATCAAAAAGTGTTGCAGGGCCCCTTTAAATTTAAAGGGGGGCTTCGCGGCTGAGTGGATTTTTCCTGAATAAATGCGTTCACGATTCACCACCGCTACACTGCAGTGAAACCCCCTTTAGAGATGATACATTCAAAATATTATGCACTTATTCGTTCCTTGCGAATACTTTGGAATTTTCAATAATTTAAATTCGAACCAAAGAGAGTTTGAATACTCTAGTAATCATTTGAATATTTAAAGCATTTAAATAATCACGCAAGCCTACGAACGAATATTTGTGAACATCGAATATTCAGGAATATTCAAGCTAGTTCGAATATTTGAAATTTTCGAATAACTGGTTATCGAGTTGAATACGAATAGTACAAATGAAATATTTACCGAATATTCAAACCTTTTGAATATTCACACACCCCTAGTTTTCACCCAATTGAATACACATAGCTTTGACGAGACCACAGCACGAGTTCGAATTAACCAGTAGTTTGAATTAAGCATGTTCCAATAAATGAGACTCGACTGTGTTTATTTTCTGTCTCACGCGTGGTTGTGTAGCGGTACATCGAGCCATGAGGCGGTTTCCTTCTTTGCATGCTTATAGGTGTGCGCCCATCTGAGCATACATTACCACAAACAGTTACAATTGATATAATGAAATAATTGTGGCTCCCTTCAACCTCAATATAACGAGGTTTGAGTGTACACAGCGCACCGTAAGTGAGGTGGACAGTATGAGAGGAATGACCTAGTTGGTTAACGTAGCATGCTGAGGAGCGAGGAGTCGTTGGTTCGAACTTCCAGTGGGTGCCTTAGAATTTTCCTTCCGACTTTTCTTTGTGCGTTATTTATATATTGACACACACGCACACATATATATACATATATGTATATAAGGGAAGGAAGTGTATACTTAAGGGCTCGTTTTTCCGTGTTTTGACATAATATTAATGAGATCTAACAGACAATAATGCCAAGGAAACTATAGGGGAAGTTATTAGACTGAATTGTAATGTAAATGTGAAGAAAGAAAATTCGGCAGATCCCTTGTACCTGGCAATCAACGTTGTGCGAAGCATGCGAAGGGAAGGTGACCGTGTTGCAATTTTTTTCTTGAGCGACACTGTCATGACATGACACTAAATATATGTACAAATGTTGCACGTACAGAGATATGCTGAAGAGTTGCAGATGTGCATGTAACCAGTTGTTTGCACTTGCGCAACGATGCCAACAGGAACGTGCCTATTAGCAACACCAGATGCTGATGATATGAAGCACTGATGCTCACAAATATGCTGACCATGGACACTGCTGCATAAATCAACTTCAGCGCATGGCAACTAACTACAATTGACGTTAACCCGACGTGGCGGCTGTATCAAAGAAGTACATATATAATGTTTATAAAATTAGGTAGGCAGCAGTGCAACCACTAGTGACGTTTCTCGAAGATTAGAGTCTTTTTGAAAAGTAGTTCCAAGACCTGGCGTAGCTCTGGTAACATGCTTCATTGCCAATAATAACGCGTTCAATGCTCTACCACTGAGCTACCACGGCAGCTATTCTCCCAGCCACTTTATTGGGTATATAGAATAGCTCAGTGGTAGAGCACTGAAAGCGTTATTGGAAGGTTGCAGGTTCGGTTCCTGCCCACGGCAAGCTGTCTTTTCACCCATCCTTTCCCCTATTTTTCATTCTTTACATTTACATTACCATTCTGTCTAATAACTTCCCCTATACTTTCCTTGGCATTATTGTCTTTTAGATTTCATATATGTATATACATGTATATTTTTAAATATCCGGAACATGACGGCAATGGCAAAAATCAGACAAGAGTGTTCATATAATTGCCATCACAATGATATAAAGCACATTGTCCTCTCTGGGAGCCATAGAGTTAGTGTACCAAGTTTCAGAAAAGTTAGTTGAGGCAGTGTAGCTGAAATATGAATAAAATATTTTCAAATCCATGACATAAAGTGCAGAGATCGCGGTGCAAAGTTTCGAAATGAAACACTGGCCTCAATTTCCTCGTCTATCCATGAGCCCATAATGGTGAAATTGACAATAGTTTTCAGAGTGTAATTTATCAGTCTGAACCGATTCATCGATCCATTTCAGTGGAACTTTAAGGCCCACCTCGCTCACCCAGATTGAAGACAAGGCAGCAGAATTGACTGCAGACGCTCGACTATGGGAGCCAGATGCGGGGGCTGGGGCGCATCCCAGACAGGGTGGGGGGCCCAGGAGCGGTGGTAGGCAGCCATGGCAGCAGGCACATAGCAGCCCTTGGTGCCCGCCTTGGACGAAAGAGATTGATGACGATATCAGCAAGAAGCGAGATCAATTCTAAATACTGGCAGCGCATAGAAGATTTTGGAAAGGGACGAGACGAATGGAGGAAAAGAGCACCGACTTATATATAGTTTCATTTCAATGAAAAAGTGCATACCGTATTTACACGATTGTAAGTCGACTCGAATATAGGTAGACCCCACCAAAGTCACACCACCACAGAGAGGAGAGCATCAGCAAATCTCATTTTAAAAAATTTGTTTACGGGGTCTTCGAAAAAAAGAAACGGTCGAATTCCAGTGAGCCATTATGGCTCCACGGCAGCATTTAAAATTTGTGCATAAAAGGTAGCCCTGCAAAAATGCGCAGGGATTATTTTCAGAAAGGCTCTACAACCAAAAATAGTTTAAGATTCTAGGTCTATCCTCCTACCTTGAGATTTCAAACTAAGCCAAAATGGGTCAACCTACAATCGTGTAAATATGGTATGTACAAGGCATGAGACAGAGTATGAGACAACGAAAGAAAAAGGCCCTTGCATCTTTTCCACATCATTTGATATGCTTCAAGCGTACAATCGTTTGATATGCTTCGAGCTCTGAAACCCAGCTCGGTAATCGAATTCCTCACTTGAGAAAGTGGAATAGAGGGTGCACTAATACACTTTTCAACCCAGATTTTTTATCAATTGGGCTTCAATGACTCCGTGACCAAGTCTGTAAAATCTTTCGGCACAACACAATTTACTGTTACTGATGCATGACTATCACGAGGCGACGACGCATAGTCGCAGTATCATCAGCAGAACATGAAGGTAGATTACAAGCACAGCAACAGATGCACAAACTCACCTTTTTCCTCTTCCTCACCACAACGGGAATACCATACTTACTCTAATGCGACGCGAGCTTTTTCCAGAATTTTGGTACCTGAAGTTGACTGAATACAGAAGTTACCTGAATTCAAGTTATCTGAAAAGTGCAATGATGCATGCAATTATTTTATTTATGTTTTATTATTTTCTTTCTGGTGCAACGAAAAGTCATCAATCGTGTTACAATCGTGGTCACATCAAAGTCAAGTAAATTTGGTAACTGGCTAGTAATCCAGCTACTACCATAGAGTAACTGAAATCTTAACCAACCTTCACCAGTTGCAGTTAATATAGTCACATGAATATTAATTTAGTGGGCCTTCATGTCATGTCTAAACTGTGAACCTAACGAAGGATTCTCACTGCATGGTCCATTTAAGAGTAATAATAATAATATCTGGATTTTAACATCCTGAAATGACGAGAGGATTTTGAGGGACTCCGTAGTGAAGGGCTGCGGAAATTTTTACTATCTCGTGTTCTTTAACGTGCACTGACATTGACAGTAGATCAGCCTCTACTTCCATTCAGCAGTGAAAGGAGTTGCACAACCACGTGTAGTAACCACTTAGTCCTGTGTACGTCGTGTCATGAGGCAGCGTTGACATGGCAGCATCAGCTATGTATCACTGTGTTGTCATAACAAAACTCGAACGTCCACCGTGGTGGAGCAGTGTGCTTAGCTGCTGACCCCGAGATCAAGGCTGCAATCTGGCCGCGGCGGTTGTGTTTCCATGGAGGTGAAATGCTAGAGGCGGGTGTACCGTGCAATGTCATTGCACATTAAAAAACACCAGATGGTCAAACTTTCTGGAGCTCTCCAAACACAGCATCTTTCATAGTCATATCCTGGTCTTGGGACCTAAAACCCCAGATATCTTTTTTTTTAGTAACAAGACTTGAACACCGAATGAATGAAACTGGCTAATGGATGTACTTATATATACAGTATCTACACTTTTGTGCCTGGACTGTGGCCCTCACCTGAAAAAGGCTGCACAGACCATGTTTAATTAATGTGCTAGGAGCTCGGCGGCCAGGTTCAAAACAGGACACGCATCATTTTTAACTGCCGAAACGGTTTATGTCGTGGTCTGCCACAGACTAGAATACAGCAATAACGCACACCAGCAAATGAAGGTCATGACGAGAGCTTCACCTGGTAAAGCCTGGTGTTGGTGTCACAGAAATAACCGGGCCCCCCGTTGTCGGGGCCAAGCAGCTGGGTGGCCTTGAAGAACACAACATGATTCCTGGAAAAGAATTTTCGAAAGATTTTAGAAGAAAATTTGAAGGGCCGCACAATACCACTGACATCAGTGGTTCTTTATTGTAAACACAAGCCCTGCACTCAGCTACTGAAGAAACGACAGCCGAGACTCGAGACACGAGATTTGTCAAGCGAAATGCAAGGAGCTAGTAACAAAGCGTTAACTTTGTAATGACACAGTTTGCCTCAAGGCACAAATTTCCAGCAGCCTTTTTTTGCATAGAAAATTGCTACACACAAGCCTCATGACAACAAAGTCACATCGGCCACAAAAATACTTCATTATATCTGAAAACTTGTTACAAATATTTACATGCAACACTGTATCTTTGGCAAAGCTATTCTTCACTTACTTCGTTATAAATAATTCCTTATATCCTAATTTGTCATATCAACATACGATCTATAAACAAAGTCAAACACAGAACAGAGCGTACCTCTGCGATGAGCCATCCGGGAGGTACTCCTCATAGCACGGTGAACCTGAGAACAAGAGAGAAAGATGTCCTTCCGTAATTCCCACACAAGACTAAACACTCTCGTACTTCTAAAGTACATACATTACATGGCTCCACACAGCCATGAAATTGCCGGAGCTCTGATGATTAAACAACACCCGCAGTCTCGTTTATCGGCTGTCTTTTCTGTTCAGCAGTTGAAGGAAAGAGTAAATTGGAGGGCTCGTTTTCTTGTGTTAGATACAGCGTTAATGAGAGTTTGCAAACAATTATGCCAGGGAAAGTATAGGGGATGTAATCGAAAGTAATTGTAATGCAATTGTGCAGAAGGAAAAGTGGACAAAACGATAACTTCCCGTGGGCAGGGACCGAACCTGCTGCCTTCGAATAACGCGTCTGATGCTCTACCAACTGACCTACCATGACAGATACCCCCTCATCCACTTTATGGGGTATGTATGTGTGTGCATTTTAAATGTGGGAGCGTCAGTCTGCGCCCCCTGTTGCCATTGGGGCGAGTGTGGGACACTAATTTTTTGCCTGTTGGTGTCACGTAACACGTAATCTTATTACGAACTGGCAGCTGACCAATAATCCTTCACATACCACTTGAAGGCATTAAGTCTGCCAGATCAAGACCCTCGCTATGAATGAACGAAATGAAGGAATGAAGACTCTTCTTTATTGTAAACAACAAGTGAAACCGACACACAATTAAAGACAAGGAAAGCTGAGGGAAACTTTTTTTGTGGTTGTTCAAATGTAATGTAATGATTGTGAATTAAATTGAAAGAAAGAAAAGTGGGCGAAAAACCACCCTTTTTGTTGTTGGGATCCGAACCCACAAACTTCGAATTCAAAGGTTGCAGATGTGGATAGAACTTGTATATGTGGTGACTGTGAATATGCACACCATCGAGGCTTACCTGGGAGAAAGCCAGAAAAACAGGATCACAAAAGTAGATGAACTCGCAGAAGAAATCTTTCATTCTAAGAAAACACACTGTCTCGTTCTTTCTACTTTTCTAATCATCAACCTAGGGGCACGTAAGTTTTTACTTTGCACAAGCCAATTGGTTAGCTTTAGATTTGAGTAATAGAAATGTAATATTTTTTTCTCGGATGGTATCCGAAAGTCCTGGTAAGATGCGAGGTCAGTATAAGATTGTGTGAAATAATTGACGTTTTTCGTAATTAATACATTAATTCTATGGTGATTGTATCGGCACCAAGTCGATTCATCGTAATATGCGTGTCGTTGCTAAACTGGGGGACTTATATTTGAGATTCCACTTCACAGTTAGGAATTATATGAGATCTAATCGACAAGCAGAAAGTGAATAAAATACAACGTTCAAAGACACCAAGACGTAAAAGTGGCCTCTAGTTTAGTGCCTGATGTATAATAGTTGTTAGTACTTTTTTGCCCTAGTTAGGTATCAAAGGTTGTCCGAGTGAAGAGGAAAGAAGGCCGAGGTGACTCACCACGGAGGTTGATGGTGACAATATCCCCATTGCAGATGTAGCTGCAATGTTGAGAGGTTACAGGAGAAATTACGACACGTTCCTCTCACATAACAAAAAATTAAAAGTGTCACATAATCATTGCCATGACACAACGCAATTAATTAGTGTTAGGTTATCTAGTAGCTTGTTAATCATAATGAGGTGTATTATTCAGCAAGCCACATCTTTACATTTATCAAGCGCTTACTAAGTCTCCGAACATGGCCCATGTCTGAGCACCAACTTTAAGGCCAAGATGCGAACCAAGAAAAGGAGACATAATGTGCACAAGCGCAATGCGCTCGGTCATTACCTGTTGACTACGAAAGAAAAGACCTGCTGATATCGGCACATTACAGCATCCTCTCTTCGTATGCAGGCCCCACGCGCAACAGTGGCAAAGTGAGTCTTCAGCAGCTTTTTGTAAAGCAGATTTTTCTTTCCATCTAGCTATTCCGCCAGCAACGCCGTTTTCACTGAGAGAAATTACAGTTGTCGACCTTATTCGGCAATGCTCGGTGCGCTTCACATTGTTGGCCTACATGTTGAATACTCTCAAACTGGCCTATTGACAGTGGGCACAGGTGAGCACAGGAGTTGCAGTCGAAAGTAATCCAGCTGTCCTCTCCTATGAACTGTCTGCCGTGTGGATGCGCCTACAGGTGGATCCTTTACGGACTAGCCGTCCACGTCCACAAGAAATCCGGATTTAGTCTGCCACCTGAATGCACCATTAGTCGCAGTAAGTTTTGTCGTTGAGTGAGAGATGATGCTCTGGTCACGCGGTGGCTTCGGTAAGGCTGCTTGGTGGAAGCGCGGTTATTCGGCCGCTTGGAGAAGATATCTTTCTCCCGTTTGGGGTTTGGTGTGGTCAGCGATGGACAGCATTCGCCGAGGTTCGTGGGTACAATTTCACAGCTCGTGCTCACGGGCCTTCATGACAAGTCAGATGTGGGCGACGCCACTTTTGTGGTCAATCGTATGTTATATTCTCTGTGTGGTGTACTGTTGTCATATTGGAATATTTGTCGTGTGACCAGTAATGCATCGAATTAGGCTGCCGAGCTTGCCGTTGTAAAATATGACAATAAACAACCATGTGTATTGCTCAATCTACATGTTCAATAAGCGCGAGTAACTTTCAGACCCCATACACCATAACCACCAACTTGTACAGAACGTTGCTTTGGGCAGTTGCTTACAGGGGCCTTGCAGTTTTTCAGTGTCATCTGAAAACACCACCAGTTGGTAGTCAAAGCGTCTGGAGAACACGTGAGTCAGACATCATAGCCCAGCAAGCGGCCTAGTATTTGCCATTACTTCTAAAAGTCAGCAAGAACTCCATCCCTCTTGTCTCAACAAATGATGGCGTATACCCAGAGCCCAGAGCCAGTGGCTGACTTGAGTATTGGGAGTTGCATAGTCACTGCAGCTGCCGCAAAATGTGATTGCAAGTGCGCGCATGTCGGACGTGCCCGTGCACACACTCGCAATTATGCTGAAAGCCGAGTGCTTTATGAAGAAAAGAAAAAGCACTAAAGGTCAGGACGCAAGCTGACAAACAGACGCAACTTCTTGCTGCCAAGTCATTTCCTTCACCCCCAATGCAGTTTTGGTCGTGAAACAAATCCAAGTGAATACGCTTGTACTCGACGAATTTTAAGCATTTTTGTGGCAGTGGATATGCGGGGTAATGAACTCCCAGAACGATCCAATGGACGATTACTTGGTAAATTGTTGCAGGGCCGGTTTAAGCAAACTACGATGACACATTAATTCGAATTACTTTGCAAAGTGTATACACCTAAAGGCCTGTATGCAGACGTGAAGTATTCTGTATTGTAACTACAAGCACGTGCACTCCCACCGTGGCCTCGAGAAGTGCTCCTTGAGTAATGCTGTGCACTCAATAGTGTGGCTGTAAAGGGGGCTTCGCACGATGGCCAGGTTGAACTCTTGAGCCGACGCTGGTGGACTGCCCTTGCTGGAACCTTCCAACGCTTCCTGTGAAACAGAGAGGGCGTCGAAAAACCTAAAAAGAAATACATTCTGCGGATCTCGCTCAAGTTGTAGATTAATGAGACACGTAATATTTTGCATGTAACTGCCAAGCCAGGATCATTCAGGGTCCGGCAGAGCATTAACAAAGAGGCACAAACCTTTGTACATAACATGAAACGGCTGCATGATGGACACAGCAGCACGATGACCGATTTGTTGCGCTTTAATGAAAGAAAATTAAAGCCCGTAAGATTAAAAGCAGGACCAATCCTGAAGGTGCTGCAGTGTAGCTTCTAGAAAGGGGAATACATACTTTGTGAAAACTTGTGCACAGTTGCTTTTGTCAGCAACTGATTGGTATGCAATAAACAGGTATGGAAAACAATGGCAAAACCGATTACGGTTACACAAGTATTACAATTTCTTTAATGCTACCCAACAGAAACGTGTGTATCTATGAGCACCTTTGTTCTGTTTAATCAAACTGTTCCTACACAATGTCTCACAAGTACCAACTGTAACTATTTAGAGTAGCTTAGCTTGTATCACCACAAGAGATGGACACCTGCATCGGCTATGTATTTCCTCACTGACATTCGCACAAGCGTTTTTCTTTGAACAGTCACACAATCGGCTCTAAAGTCATCAGAAATAATCTTTCAGTGCCAAAGAAATGACACTGAAATAGAGCACCAGTTGGACTAGTTGCTTGACATTATTCGTAAAGGCTGCTTAAACCTTTGCATCCTATAGGCAATCCAGTTGCACAAGAACTAATCTTTTTTTGCATATGTGCACTGACAATACATAGGAAAGTGGGAATAAATGAAAAAATTTAGAAAAATGTAGCTTTAGATCAAAAAGGAAACAAGAGTCCACACATGTGGACGCTGAGAATACTATTTACGCTTGGTCCATCATCATTTTTTATACTACAAGAGAACTTTGGCTGCTGACGGCTCAGTTTCAATGCATCAACCATTACCATCATCTCTACTTACCATAATCAATGCCTTCATCATCATAAACAGTCACGTGGCCCCTTGCGAACAGCTTTGATTCAACACTTTCATCGTCACCATTCATTAGCACTATCACCAGCACACTAATCCTCGTGTTGAACACTATTATTATCACCATCATTATCATCATTCAAGGCCCATTTGCTTGCCCAGAGGTTTACTTCAACATATTTTTATAAATGTTGATCATCATTACCAATGCATTGATAATTACATCCAAACTTCATGCTCTCATCATCAGCACTAGAATTGTTCAATAGGCCTTCGTTCGTTAATAGCTCTGCTTCAATGCACCGATTGGTGCTTTCGAAATCGGTACGTTTGCTTTCACAAGTCAGCTAAAAAATTATGGCATGCATGCCTCTGTCACTTAATCCACGTCCCGAATAATGCAAATAGATTCCGAACATAACCAGTAAAAGGCATATTTAGCTATGTTACAGGTAATCCCTAGTGAAGAGCTGCAAGGCAACGCTGCAGGTCCTGCTAACATGAATTGTATCAGCTTCATACACATACTCAGTATGCCTGGCGTACACAAACATGGGCGGAGCAACGACAACTCAACTTACAGAACTTACAGGATAATTTATCAGGAGTTTAATGCTGAACAATAGATGCTGTTAGGTCTTGTGCATGCACTGCCATTTAATATAACATTGCTTTTCTTGAGAAAAATACACCTAATGAACAAACAAAAATAGCAAACTGAGATAACCAACTGTATACTCTCATTAAATGGAATCTGAAAAGACCAAGAAAATATGTTTCGCTTAGCAGGAGTTTCGTTTATTGTGAGCCCACTGTAATCTTATTGCTGGCATAAAAATACCATTGATTGGTATCACGCTTCGATTATTACTCTGAATGTGCTGCACTGAAAAAGGAATCGCAATACTTTGTCCATAAAAGTCTCTTCCTTGCGTCTGAATCCAACAGGCCAGTGGCATTACAGGCAGAAACGAATGTTTAAATGTATAGACTGCATATGCCATGAAAATGTCACAAATTCATCAACCATACACACAAAACAATATTCCGATGATTGCTACCCTTGAAGAGATCCCAAAATGAGGTAGACCAATAGTGTAAAAGTTTTGGTGATTGACTATAAATATTTACCGTCGTAATTGTTTAACTGACGCTCGCAAAACACCCCAAAAATAAATAATTGCAAGATTACCACAAAAAATATTAATAATAAACAGCCAATGGCAGTCAGAGTAGATCTGCAATGGGCCCGCGGTCTAAAAAACCAGCCGGGCGGTCTAAAATAGGACAGGTGGCAACGCTACGCACCAAGTTCCTTGGTCATCTAAAACGGTGTCACGCTGCCACCAAAAAGTAGTGTTTAAAAAGCGCACTTTACAATCAGCTACAATTTTCATACCAAAAAGTCCTGTACTCTTCCCGTTGTCCTGGTCTCATCAGCGCTTTGGCTTCATGAAACGTAACAAACCAACTAGACCAAAGTCTGCTCTCTTGCAAACAATCAAAAACTGATAAAAGCATGACATGGGGCATAAGTGTGTACCAAGTGCAATCGTGCCGTGGGCCGGACCAGTAGCGCAGGCTTGTCCCGGTCGTGCAGGTGAAACCAGAGGTGGGGGCTCAGGAACGCTGCGTCCTGCTGCGTGATGCCACTTGCCAATTCACTCTCCATCACGTGCAGCCTCTCTACATTCCAGATTGCCACCACGCGTCTGCACCACCGGAGCCAAGAAGAGCAGAAGCGTGGTAAACTTGTGATGCAGCTTCCCGCGACATGCAAGCCTTCCTTTGAGTTTTCAGTCAATGTTCACGATAAAAGTCACAGGTTCACGAAAAGGGCGAAGCAATGAAAGCGATTGCAACGTATTCTATTGTTTTACAAAGCAAGGCTAGCACTTTTAGAAGCAATATTAGTTGTAATAAACATGCACTTGCTGAGTAACCAAGTTTCCTGCTGTGCGGCCACAGTAGTAATTCTTAAAAACACTGGTGTAAGAGAACACTGCCGCTCCAGGTACACTTCTGGCACCATTTTATCCTGTTGAAAGCACAATGGGTAAAAGCTCCTGCCAACTGTGGGGGCACAAGCCGCACGCTGATCGTTGCTGCGATAGCGCGGCAACCATCAGCGTCGGGAACCACCAGGAACACGAGTTTCGAGAACCCTGTGGTGCCTGGGAGTACATTGCATGTATTTTTAATACCATTCCCTTAAAGAGGCAGCTTCTCCATGCCGTGCCATGGCAGTGTGACATCACGAGAATACAGCCATTCGCGATGTGCTAGCAGCAGATCTGCCATCCGCTCGTGGTACACGTAAACAACGATGAGTGCATTGTCTACAGTGACCCCAACAGCAATCCCTGTGATTTAGGCTGCATGCTAGATGCAGAGTTCACAAACTCAACGGGACTCTGTTGACTTGTCGAGATAATGTCCATTGCGGTGGGACTGGCTTGCTTATGCTCAGTTACAAAACCTTAAAATAAAATTCAAAGAAGCATTTTATATGTGTTGGACGACTCCGGTGTGTGACAAATGTTAACACTTGCAAGGATATGAAAAATGTCCTTTTTGCAATGTCTTGAAATTCCGTTAATACACTTTTAAAAAACAACTGAAGAACGCACACAATCCCTCATGCATTCACCTAAAATAACTAAAATGTGAAAGCTATCGTCACTTTCTACTCGGTCAATGAATAAACTTGATTCAATTGAATTGATTCTGCCCCGAAACCCTTTGAAAAGCTCTGTGCGCATAGCGTGGTGTTACGCCGCCTCCACGATCAGCACACCTCTAACCGAGAAATGATGTCATATGACGATGCCGTCACACGACATCACAAACTTTTGCAATCGGGGACATCGAGCGATGATTGTTCACATCACTCTGACACCACTGATGCAAGACACTGCTGACGCCGATAGTCAGTTTTTGTGTTCTGAGAGACATCTAAGGCTTCCACGATATCAAGTGCATTTATTTGCGAGTGTGATGTCCCCATTGCATGTTTGATCAATAAAGTTGTATCAAGAACTCTGATGAATTTCAAAGCTCACTACCTTCTGATCAGTATTGTTTTACAACTGCATGTGTGGAGTGATGTATGTTCTGCTTGCCATTTTTATTAATGTTAATGCCATTAATCTAATCAAATCTACATATTGCTACGGGGCACCACAAATGAACACTCTAGGAAAGAGGACGATGTTTAGCGCGAGCTCGTGCAGACCGGGCTCCATATTGTATGCCAGCCTGTTTACCAAAAGTAAAGGCATTTTTCAGACGCCTTCTCCCCGTAACATTTTGGTTGAGGGTGCGGGTCTTCCCACAGTCAACACCACGACGATTCTACGCAGCGGACATTCCTTGGCTGCCTGTGCGATGCCTGATCAAGACGAACACGAGGATTCTTCGGAGACTACCCCAACCGTGCTTCGTCCAACTACGCAGCAACCAACAGCACCGCATCCAGCTGCTACTAACCGCACCGTCGTCCTGACTTAACCGCGTGACCCAGGCACATTTTCGGGCAGTGACAGTACTGACGTGGAGGAATGGCTCCAGCTATATGAAAGGGTGAGCGCTCTTTACAACTGGGATCCGACGCTCATGTTGGCCAATATTATTTTCTACCTTGACGGTACAGCTAAAGTTTGGTTTTCCAACCACGAGGAAGATATCACGAGTTGGGACATCTGTAAGCAGAAACTCATCAATCTCTTCGGAAAGCCCATCGGGCGTCGCCGTGCTGCGCAGAAAGAACTAGCGTCCCGACTCCAGTCCGGCACCGAGTCGTACGTCACATACATACAGCATGTGCTCGCCCTCTGCCGGAAGGTTGATGACAAGATGCCGGAATCTGAAAAGGTCGCGCACATCCTCAAAGGAATCGCCGATGACGCTTTCAATCTCCTCGTATATCGAAACTCATCGACCATAGACGACGTTATTAATGAATGCCGACGCTTCGAAGACGCGAAAAGTCGCCGTATCACTCCACACTTTTCGCGTCTTCCCAACACGGCTGCAACATCAACCTGCGAGGACGCCCGTTTGGCACCAGCCCCTGCTGCTTCCGACAATATCGTGCGCATCGTGCGCCACGAAATCGAGGCAGCATCTCCTCTGTCTGACCAAGTCCAGGCCCCTGACGACTCTGGCGCCACGATTTCTTTAATCAAGAGTGTCGTACGCCAGGAACTGGCCAACGCCGGACTTCAGACGCTATGCCCCGTTAACCGACCTGACTACCGACTGCCCAGTACACCTAATATGTCCCGCGGACCGAACAACCGCCCACGTTACCGGAACTTGGCAGAATGGCAAACTTCCGATGACAGGCCGATTTGCTTCAACTATGGACGAGTGGGCCATATTTCACGTCATTGCCGCACTTCCTGGGGTTGGCAGCCATGGTCGCATTATGCCAACACCCGACGCCCACCTGCTGGCTCTCGGATGCTGATATACACGGCACAAGATGATGCTTCGCCATCCAGGCCCGTCCAACCAAGCCGCTCTCCGTCGCCCTCTGGACGCATGTCCCGCTCAACTAACCCACGTCGCTCCCCCTCGCCCTCCTACCACCAGTCCTCGGAAAACTGACGGGCGCAGCTCCTAGAGGTGAGCCTGCTTCGACGACCCGACCCAAAATTCCTCTACACACGATACCCGGACACAGCAACTTGATTAAAGTAATTGTTGACGGTACTTCTGTGGCAGCACTCATTGACACCGGCGCTCACATATCAGTCATGAACTCCAGCCTTTGTGCTCGACTCAAGAAAGTGCTCACTCCTGCTCCGATCACTCTTGTCCGAGTAGCTGATGGTGCAACACCAGCGGTAACCGGGATGTGTGCCGCCCGTGTCACTGTTGCTGGACGTCATACCACTGTTCTGTTTTACGTACTGGACCACTGCCCACATGACATCATATTGGGACTCGATTTTCTGTCAGAGCATTCCGCCCTAATTGACTGTTCTGCTGGTGTTGTTCAGCTCGTCCTACCACACGCCGTTGACCCTCCTGATCTTGCGCCGCCAAAGCTATGCTCCGCCGACTTTGTCCGCCTATCTTGTCGAGCTGTGACGTATATCGACGTCTTTTGTGATCCACCTGTGGCTGACGGCGATTATGTCATTTCACCTAATCCTACAGTACTCTGTTCGCTCAATGTTGCGTTCCCCCACACCATCATCACAATGAAGAACAACGTGGCATGTCTCCCTATAGTGAATTTTAGACTTTGCTCTGAAGTGCTGCCACGAGGAATATCCCTTGCAACCCTTGCCCCGGCCGGCGACTACGACATATCGGCCTTAACAGAGGATACACCGTCATCTGCAAGTATTCAGTCGCGCAGTACACTAGACTGCATAACTGGAATGATTGCCTCTGATCTCCCGGCCGAGCATGTGGCTGCGCTTCGTGGCCTTCTTGCGTCGTATCAAGACGTCTTTGATCTCTGCGACCGACCCCTAAGTCAAACGACCGTCGTAAAACATCGGATCAACACCGGTGATGCAAATCCAGTACACCGGCAACGAGTTTCCTCCACCGAGCGCCACGTGATCCAGCAAGAAGTCGACAAGATGCTTGCCCGAGACATCATTTAACCTTCTTCAAGTCTTTGGGCTTCGCTCGTTGTGCTTGTGAGAAAGAAGGATAACAGCTGGCGCTTCTGTGTCGACTACAGAAATCTTAACAAGGTTACAAAAAAAGACGTGTATCCTCTGCCGCGGATAGACGACGCTCCTGACTGCCTTAGTGGCGCAAATTATTTCTCTTCCATCGACCTTCGTTCCGGGTACTGGCAGATATCAGTTGATGATCTGGACCGTGAAAAGACGGCATTTATAACTCCCGACGGGCTCTATCAGTTCAAAGTAATGCCGTTCGGTTTATGCAATGCCCCGGCTACATTCGAACGAATGATGGACGCTCTTCTTCACGGTTTCAAGTGATCAATCTGCTTATGCTACCTTGATGACGTCATTGTTTTTTCGCCAACTTTCGAAACTCACCTCGAGCGTCTCTCAACAATTCTTTCGGTTTTCCCCAAAGCAGGGCTCCAACTAAACTCGCCGAAATGTCACTTCGGCCGCCGGCAGCTCACTGTCCTTGGACACCTTATCGATTCTTCTGGTGTTCGTCCCGATCCTGAGAAAATCCGTGCCGTCAAAGATTTCCCTGTGCCGACCTCTGCGAACGATGTTCGAAGCTTTGTGGGCTCTTACTTTCGTGGATTTGTGCGGAATTTTGCTGACGTCGCACGACCGCTCACGGAACTACTAAAAAAAAATGTGACTTTTGTGTGGGGACCTGAACAAACTAGAGCCTTCGTTGAACTGACGAGTAGACTTACGACGCCACCGATTCTCGGCCACTTTGATATATGCGCTCCAACGAAAGTGCGTACAGACGCCAGCGGCCACGGCATCGGAGCCATTTTGGCACAACGACAGCATGGCTGCGAGCGCGTTATTGCATACGCTAGCCGTCTTTTATCGCCAGCAGAGCGAAATTACTCCATCACAGAACGCGAATGCCTCGCACTCGTCTGGGCAGTGGCTAAATTTCGGCCGTATTTGTATGGACGCCCGTTCACGGTTGTCACTGATCACCACGCGTTATGCTGGTTGTCGTCCTTAAAAGATCCTAGTGGACGTCTCGGCCGGTGGGCTCTACGGCTACAGGAATATTCCTACACGGTTGTCTACAAATCAGGTCCCCACCATGACGATGCTGATTGCTTGTCGCGTCATTCAGTAGACCCAGCAGACCTTTCTGAGAGCGATGAGTCTACTTGCGTTTTGGCACTTTCCACATTTAGCAACATCGGAGATCAGCAACGCCGTGATCCTCACCTCAGAGATATAATCCTTCGGCTTAGTGGTCCCACAACTCCTCCGTCTCTCCGTATGTTCCTGCTCCAAGATGGCGTCTTATATCGCTACTTTTTATCACAAGTTATCCAAGACATATATATTGCACTCTTGCGCTACAAAGCACAAGTTCACAACGGCGTATTATCCTCAAACCAACGGGCTCACGGAGCGGCTAAATAGAACCATCACGGACATGCTCGCCATGTACGTTTCTTCCGACCATCGTGACTGGGACTTCACCCTTACATTTGTAACATTTGCCTATAATACGTCTCAGCATGACACTGCAGGTTTCTCACCATTTTTCCTCCTGTACGGACGAGAACCTACGTTGCCTTTCGACACGCTCCTTCCTGCCGTTGGCCCCACGTCAGAATATGCCCGCGATGTGATTTCTAGAGCTCTAGAGGCACGTGAGATTGCTCGCCGGCGTCTGAGCGATTCGCAGGAACGACAACGACAGGTCTACAACGCGTGCTATCGTGATGTCCACTTCAGTCAAGGTGACACAGTCCTTCTCTGGACGCAGTCGCGGCGAGTTGGCCTGTGCGAAAAGCTGACTTCACCGTACTCAGGTTCGTACTGTGTTGTGCGCCAAGTCACCGACGTGACATATGAAATTGAACCTCTTAACGCCACCAGCGCGCGATCGTGTTCTGACGTTGTTCACGTGACTCGACTGAAACGATTTTACTCAGACCAGCCAAGCACCGAGATGGTGCCTTCGCCGCCGGGGGGTGATGCTACGGGGCGCCACAAATGAACATTCTAGAAAAGAGGACGATGTTTAGCGCGAGCTCGTGCAGACCGGGCTCCATATTGTATGCCAGCCTGTTTACCAAAAGTAAAGGCATTTTTCAGACGCCTTCTCCCCGTAACAATATCTTATCTGATGTCAAAATTATCATTATAGTCAGGATGAAAGTCTGCCTGAACGTATAATGTACAGTATAGAAACGAAACAATTTGGGCTAAGTAGTAGTGGATTTACATTTGCTTCCAGCATCTACATTTTGTGTTATAGTACTATAGGCATAATTTCGACTCACATGCTAACATCAGAGCAAACATTAATTCTAGTGACGTACTCCTAACAAAATGACACGATTTTGTTTATGACTACCAAGAAGCTTCAGAGAAGAGTTTTTTAGTGTAGCACATTTTATTGCGATAGCAATTATACGGACTCTCGGCCCGTTTCGATGTCACCGTCGACATTGCTGTCCCATCATGATCCATATATGTATGCGAATACAGTAAATCCTGAGTGATCAAATCAGAGCTCATACGAATTTCAATACAAATTTTTTTGGGGTACCAGACAAGGCCCATTAGCCATCAATGTATTATCAGTGTGACTGTTGTGAAATTATTTCTTCCCCCCCCCCCCCCCCCAGCCCGATTCTTGATACAGCTTTAGCACACAGGCACAAACAGGCATTGCATGCACTGTAAAAGAAGACGCAGCAATAACACATGGGTGCGAACATGCGCGCTACGTGACCATCAGCGGTACATTGTTGGCTCCAAGATTTTGAGCGCAAATCTTGGAGGCCTTAATGCACCATCTAGTTTAAGTTACAGGTGGCGCTGGCATTTCGCTTTTTTTCAACACATCGACGCATGCTGCTGCGCTTGAGGCAGCAGCGTCGTCGTACTGCGCACGTGCCTGCCATGTCGATTCAAGCCATGTTCTTGCAATCAGACATTCCACGAAACAAGACTGATGCTTGGGCAGCAGCTCCATTATGAAGCCCCCTGAAAGGAGGATAACGACTACAAAAGATGAAGCGGACGTTCTCGGTGAAGGAGCTAGGCCTCGCAACTTATGAGCACACGTGCGGGCTCTCCGAATTGCACGTGAGACTCCCGAATTTCGAGCGTGTGCCATTGGGCAGGCACAGCTGTAAGTCTGCCAAAAAGCACCCCAAACACCACTTTGATAAGAAAATAACAGCAAATTGCACAGTAATTCTAAGATGGTCTCGTTTTCATGTAAAGTGCTTCTTAAGTCACTCTCGCCACAGTACTCCTGCATCATGCTTGAAAAGTGCACTAGGATTAGGAAGGGGTTACTAGCAGTCATTGGTCACAACACATTTGGTTTGTTATTTACACATGTGCCATATGTTTACCAGCGCAAGTACGATTGTGGACACCTCAAAACTTTATTGGCAATCATTCACAGCTGTTCAGGATGTCACTGCGGCACTGAGAAACAATAAATCAAAACTTATGCCAACTTTCTTTTGTCGTACTAATCTTCCGTGTTTTATGGTGATACGAATTTCGAATGATACAAAGATTTTTGATGATCCCATGAGATTCATATTGCTGAGGTTTTCCTGTATATAGAAGCCATAAAATAAAATATTTCAGGAGAAATGTTTTGTGAAGTTGCATGACCGGAGACTTGAATCTGTGGCCTCTCGCTCCACCGCACATCGCATTAAACGACGCTGCCATGAAGCATATGTCCTTCAGCCTACCAATGCAGAGCTGTTTATACACAACGCTTACCGCTCACAGTACACAGTTCAGAGGTTCTTCAGCCTGTTCTGTTTACCACCAGTGAGATGTCGTAAAGTGCCCGCTTTAAAGGTCGTTGCTCCGCTAGTTTTTTGCCAGAGCCGAGATGCATGCATGCTTTCTACATGTACTACCTGTGCTTTGCCCTAGAGGGCGTGGTCACTCGTGTGAGTACAAGCATATTTCGTAAGGAAGCAGTTTGTGCATAAATTCTAAACCTTCACCACAAAGTTTACATTGAAGTTGTACAGCACATGAAGGTTATTTCACCTGCTGCAGTGTCCGCGTTTGTGAAAGGACCGAGCTGCCAGCCAGAAGAGCCAGAGTAGGGGCTAATTGGTTGTGCATAGTCGACAGTTGCAGCACACTGCTCGAACACAAAGATATCACAACTGTGACAGTTGTTACCTCGTGATCGTCTCATCCTGTGAATGCCTGTGCATTCTTTTCATGCATCCTGTTTTGTGTTTGAGCAGCGCACTTCAAGTTTCGAGCTGCTTGCCTTGCTTCGTGTTTCATTGTAATTAGTTACTATCGAACTCTCGAACTCACTGTTTCGCCCTTGTGGCAAAACTGACATTCTTCGCTTTGACAGACATATTTACTGGCATGCGAACATAAAGTGCTTGCAAACAAAATGAACAAGCAACGTCGAGATACTTTAGTGGAAAACGACCGGTATCATGTGTAACTTTTTCTACATTGACAATAATGGTTCCTGGAGTTTATGCAAGGGGCAAAATTTGACACAGTGAAAACTCAATTTAGCCTGAGTTGCACGTTACATTATTCCTCCAGCATGCTTCAAATACTCACTTGAGCTGTGGCTCCGATGAAGGGCTGCCACGGCCTCCCTGCTCTACCAGCCATGCCTGAGCCCAGGAACCCTCGGACAAGCCTAGAGAAGCCATGGTCGACTGGCTGAGGAATACACAGTTGAGTGGGTCAGCCGTCGTTGGTATTTCGTGTTCAGGTAACTGGGGAAGGATGTGGACACGCAGAAACCCCGGAGTACGCCTCCGTACGGATGCGACTATGCCTGCCGCCACAGACCTGCAGCGTGGAAAAGGCACAATACTGCGCTGTCCTTCCCCAAGTGACAGAAAGTAACACGGTCTGCCTTGTCCTCTCGTTATGTGCAAGCAAGTTGCTCCTGGTGTAAGCGCGAGTTTTAAGATTGTCAGTTAAATCTATTTTAAGGAGAACCAACATAAAATTTTGAAGATTAGATAACTTGAGAAATAGATTTGTGAAGACATTCATATCATACACAAAATATCAATGGCAAATATAGCCTAGAAGACATAGAGTATCCTAAAATTAACTACACTCCAAACCTCGATATAACAAATCCAGATATAACGAAATGTCGGTTATAACGAAGTAAGTGAAAAATAGTTTCACAATAGATTTAGTGTTAAGAATAAACATTGATAATGAATTTTCTGATATAATGAACTTATTTTCATGTAAGATGCAAGCTTATTATAATGAGTTTCAAGTGTACAAAGGACTCTGGTGCTGCGATCATTCAGCGACCATGAGAATATTTAGTAGTAAACGGATTTGCCTAGTTTTCCTACTTGAGGGCGGCGAATCACACTTGTGATGCTAAGGACAATGCCAAACTTTCCCAATTAAAGAGTTCGCTTTGTTATTGCATAATTTACTATTACACCACCGCTATGAACACTGGCCTAGCAGAAATAATTTTATTCAAGCACACCCTAATGAGCAGTCTGAGAGAGTCATCACTCTATATGACCTTCAGATGCGCATCATTTTAAGCTGTCAGTGAACGTGTTAAAACTACACTTTATACAAAAGCACTTGACACACTATTGCAAGAAAAGAAGGTAGTAATATGCTGATTTGTGCATACTTGAGTAAATGACCCTAATTACAGTGCAATCAAAAATCTATTTATTCGGCAGTCGTCCTGTCCCGTTTCTTTATAGAATCAAATCTCCCGCTCAAGACAGAAGGACAACTTGTTATCCACTAGCATATCCGTTCAAAGCAAATAAACATTGCAAGTTCTACATAGCTCCCAGGAAGAGGTACGTCACACAACTCGTCAAATGCTGTAATATCTTCAGCAGTATGACCCTCTACAGCTGTGCACAGTTTAGTGAAGCTAAGCTCTTCAACTTCGAACAACGAAATTAAAACGTGTGCAAATGCGCACGTCCCCATTTGAGCCAGTTAAAGTAATACATAAAGTGTCATGTGGCCCTGTAATGAAAAATTTGTAAACAGGGGTTGTGTCGAGCCGACGTTTTCACTAGAGGCTGGAAGGGGCACCACTCAGTTCAATTCATACCTCAGTTCTGTTCTAGCCGTGAAGAACACAAGTCCGCTTGTTGAAAACGCCGGCTCGACACAACCCCTGTTTACTGGTTTTTTCATCGAAAGCTTACATCTCTTCACCCTCCTGCCATAATGTGGCCGACGTTTTGGTTGTTGTACACCACTACAGGTGTCACCAGTGGCGAGGAAATATCAGACATTTCTTTCTTTTTTTCTTGAGAAAAAGCTGAACACACTTCAATTGAAACTCGGAAACACTTTTTTTCAACCAAGAACACGGTGAGGCCTGCTCAAACCATTTGTTGCCAGCGTGTTCCTTTACTGATCAATACCTTACACCTACCTGCCGTAAAATGCCAAGCGAGTGCCACCCCAGCGGTGAAGGATAATTCGACCGGATTCGGGAAGAGGGCGCTAGGTCAGTCACGGACTGGTCATTTGCTTCTTATTTGGCGCTTATTTCATATCTCTCAAAAATGGAAGAGGGGCCCTTTCTCGGGTGTGTGCTCTTGCTTGGTGGTTTACGGTATATTGCAACTAAAATCTATACAGCTCAATATCGTCAGTATTCCGGAGTAAAATTTGCATTCGGCTCTTATGGGTTTGAAAACTTCATTTGGGCTTGAATTAGCTCGTAAAAAAGCGTAAAGTGATTCGAATGTACGGTGTAGCACTATTTTGCGCTAAAGCTAACATCATCCATGTTCTTCCGTTGAGTGTAATGGCGATAAGTGGACCTGAAGAGCGAGTGATCTTTCCAGGCAAAGGATGCGCCATTCTAGACTGTTGCAGCAATTTTTTTTGTTCTTAATATCTGCTGAAGGCCTCCAAAAGTGCTCGCACTCTTCTTCTTCGGAGCATGTTTTATGCCAAGCCACTTTGGATCACTTCTTCTAGGTATAGATTGGTGCCCTAATACAGTTAAACACCATTATAAGAGGCATGCTTCGGGCAGCAATTCTTGCCTTTTATACCAGATGTCTCTTATAAGCTGGGGACCCCGTATGCACATTCCTATTCCCCGTATTTTACTGTAGGCACACTGGTGCCTCTTATACCCATTTGTCTCTTATATCAGTTTCTCTTATGAAGGGTTTCGACTGTACCTCCATTTCATAGATCTTTTAATTCAAACATACCACCTTGAAGCGAAAGAAGGGCATTACACTGTAGCCCTTAACTGAGAAAAAAAACGTTAATAGGCATAAATAAGTAGGAATGCAGACCTCTCACTCTTTAAGTTAAAGTTTTGCCCAACATTACATCCTTAGGTAGGCGCCAACTCACTCTGCAAAAATTATTGTGGAACGTAAACATGATAGCAACAACAGGAACCCAAATGAAACAGATTGGATAAGACCGTGTCGGTTGTTTTGGTCACGATTGTTAACAGTGCTGGTTTACTGAGCATTGCCCAGTTTGATTGAAAGAGTCACAGCATTTGGCTTATTTTGAAATAGAAACTTCCTTCTTGAGCTCGCGTTACAATTAGTAATTGCCCCATTTTGATTCCAACTCTTTCAGAAGCTAAAGCTACACGAATGAGCTTTACGCTCCCGTGAAGTACAGCCTAGTTTCGGTTCCTGCATTCGGCTTTTTCTGAAAAAGAAAAAAAAGCAATGTACGTGCATGATTGATTGATATGTGGGGTTTAACGTCCCAAAACCACTATATGATTATGAGAGACGCCGTAGTGGAGGGCTCCGGAAATTTAGCAATGTACGTGCAATCCATGTCAGTTGATAAACTTCCATCAAGTTCAGTTTTATTGTGCGAGTCACACAAAGTAATGTGTCATGCGTGCCGTTTGAGTTGTGTACAAGACTCTTTTCGTGAAATGAGGCATACACCAAATCAACAGGAAAACTTGTCAACACGGAAAGTAAGAGAGCACTGCAAATCCTTAGCATGCTATCCCCACTCTTTCTTTAGTAGATTCACACTTAGCGAATGTGGCTGCACGGAAGAATTCAGTAGATCTCATTTTTTATCGGAGCAGGGATTAAACGACCTGGAAACTACTGAAGGCCTCATTTCTCATGAAAAAAATCGTCACGGAAAGAGGCAAAAAAGTTGAAATTAAACAAACATGGCACTTGTGCTTGTGTGGTTGCAGCCTGCTCATGTCAATGTTTTTTATAATTGTGCGCCAATTCACCTTACATATGTCGGACCATTGACAGAGTTTCGTATGTGTTTATGGTTTTTTCCTTGTTTTCAATGCATTATTGAGGGTTATTTTGCTTATTGCTGTGTTCAATCTTTGTTTTTTTTCTTTATTAGCAAATATTGAGGGTATATCCTATTAAAATTTCAGATTCAAAACAGTGCTTTGTTATTGGTTCTTACTTTGCTCTGGTGTTAGCGTTGCACTATATTCCTTACTTTACATAATCCTCATCGATTGTAAATAACTCAGTCGACCCACCTGTCCTGCTTGGCTCGGTGTGTTGACTGCAGAATGCGGCTGGTGTACAAAATGGTGCCCGCCAGCTTCACAACATCGTCACATGGAGCACCGTCACCAGCAGGCGTGTATTCCAGCGGCGGCCTTATCACCACCACCTGCAGAAAATTTGATTGGCTGAAGCTCAATGTCTCAAGGAAAAGTTGTATACTGTAAAATTTGGGGACCCTTAAGCTTTCTTTCAGGACTTGGTCGCGACAGCAATATTCTGTCCCGGGTGCATTCTGAGTAAAGGGTAGCATGCTTTGAACTACGAGCAATTATGCACGTGAAATGTTTTCAAACTTGCTATGCACCCTCTGCGCGGTCTTAAGAGAATACGTGCCATAACATGTGAGTATTTTGTAGGGGGGGACTGGCTTTAAACCATGAGGTGGTTACAATCACCTGTTCTGACTCCCGACGGCAATGTACCCTTGAACCACACATTATTACTGCGACATTGCATGTTGCATTGTGAAGCCTGCATACATGACAGGCGAGTTTGTAAAGGGTGAAGGCTATTTTCACTGCACTTCCAAGCAGAGGAAGTTCTTTCCATTGTATTTATAAGCAGATGCGTGGCTGTGTGGTGAAACACCTGATTGCCAGGCAAATGACCTGGGTTTGATGCTCACTCAAAGCCGGAAATCTCGTCGTTTCTTTTACTTGCGTATATCTCAAGTTTTTATGTCGTGGACGAGATTTGTCACTCACAACCAACAGGGCCAACAACGACAGCGCAATATCTGCAAAACGAGCTCCCCAATGCTATCGCTTTAAGATACCACGTTTGATGTTGACCCAACGTGATTCTCAGCGTACACCGAAAGTACAAACAGAATCAATTGTGTCTAGAGCACCCGAACGACCGCTACAGTAGCGGTTTATTGCAGAAAAAATAAATTAAGGCAGCTGCATCCGAGTGGAGCTAAGCCCGAAGGAATCGCAGAGTTGGTCAGCCCCCTTTGTGTCTTTTCGTCGTTCTCTGTCTTTGTCTCTTTTCCAGTTATTCCCGAGTTTTTTTGTTGTATTTTCTTTCTATTTTCTTGCTTCCTTTCTCTCTCTTTCTATTATTTGCTTGCTTTTTGCCTTTTTCAATATTTATAGGTAGTTTTGCCAGCGTTACACTAAGCAACGCCAGCATATGATAGCTCGAGCCCCTAAAGTGCTTCACACTTAATATCATCAAGGCGTTCAAACAACAAAAGGAAAAAAGACCTCTCGTCGGTGTGAGCACACACTGACATAGATATGCTGTACACTCAAACCTTCTTATAACAAAGTTGCATCTTAACATAAAAGTAGGTCCGTTACATACAAGAACTCATTATAGAGGTTCATTCCTAACACTATTACTATTGCGAGACTATTTCTTCCTTACTTCGTTATAACCGACATTTCGTTATATCCGGGTGTTTTAATATCAAGGTGAGTGTACGCGGTTTTGCCTGCACTACACCAAGCAACGACGACATACGGCCACAGCCTGCAACAGCCCAACCTCCTAGAGTGCTCCGCACTGAATATGCCAAGACCCACATTGTTACAACACCAAACTTAGTCATACCACGCGCTAGGTCCTTGTGTTATAATTCAAGCACGAACGGAAGCTGGCAGCTAGTGTGAAGTTGCAGCTGCAGAAAACAACAGTCTGCGCAACCAAGCATTCGGCTGCTCTAGACAAGTGTTATCTTATCTGTACAGTACTGTCAAAGCACAATGCAATGAACACAGAACAATTAACAAACAAACATAACCAAATCAATTCGAGCAGTCTCACCAATGTATTACACTGAAACAGATATGTGCTTATAATGAATATTGGAAACAATGAAGCTCCTTCTGTGATATTAACGCTGCACAGCTGTTTTTCAGCGCAATCAAGTGAAAGCTTGGCCAACTTTCTCCACCACAATAGTGTCCTTTTCCACGCAATTTGCACAAACGAGCCGATCATGGCTAACAAAAGTGATCTGAATGTGCCACTGAAAAATGTGCTACGTGATAGTAGTATCAGACATTTTTTATATTGAGGCATGGGTGATCAGAAAAGAGACTAATAAATGAAGATTGAGACACAAGCTATAACACAAATGCTGCATTTCATTCCTCCGTCCCTGCTTCTCGAGATGTGTTCACTGCGATATGTTTACCACCTTTGAGCCACAAACATGGAATATAGCTCAGCATCATCGCTGCCTACTGCAAAAGATTGTTATAACATATATTGTTTTTAAAACAGTACTTCAGTTAGCAAAGCAATGGTAGTTACCTTTCAAATGTCTGTAGAAATAAATGCACTTGTACTCCATATTATTGAGTGAACTTAGCCGGTGTAAATTGCTTAATTGGGTATGTGGCAAGCATAAAGGAAGATAGGCAAAGAAGAAAGTAGCACTCACTTAACCCACACTGGCATCATACATATTCTATGCATGCTCATTTCTTATGCCTGACTTGTCCCTATAACACACACAACTCAGTGATCCAATGCCAACCGGTCTGCATGCATATCAGCACGTGAATGCCCCAAATGATTTTACCTGTTTTCTATGTGGCAGTACTAGCTTTCAGCTGTGTGCGTTACCTGCAGTTTAGTGCACCGCACTAGCTACGCAACACACGGTAGAATCCATTGAGAGAACGATTGAGACCAGCGAGTTGGGGTAATTAAGGTAAGGATTTTTGAGAGTTTTTTGTCACACATTTGATTTGGTGTGGAGACAATACCCTCCACCATACCAAAAATTAAGCAAACCTCGGGCTCTGACACTCAGGCTACTTCAGGTAAGGCTAACCCTGCGCTTCTACCCAAGATTTATCCTGAAATACATTTAACTAATACATGTTCCTTATGCTCGGATATAGCTAATCGGGAACAGAAGCTCTGGCGGTACACGACTTAACACTGAGGGGAATTCATCGCGCCACCCAAATGGGAGGCTGCTATTACCACCTCCACATTTGAACAACAGTAATGGGCAGTCCAACGAGCCTGTGATGCAGCAGAGAAACTTTGTCTTTTCGTTCTGACATTGGAGCGGCCAGCAACTTGCTAAAGCGCGTTCTGAAGGACCTAATAAAGTTAATCCCTCCATTCATTCATATGGCTTATGATCTTGGTCAAGGCTATACAGATGAGAATTCATCGGCAGTGGGCGGCTCATTGCAAAAGGCGCCGCTAACTGGCGATATGTGAAAAAGGAGCCAATCACGATAGGATAATCGCACCTGGTTAAGGCTCAAGTGCGATCTAAAGTGCACCCACACTATGACACTGTTCAACGATATGCAAGGGGCTACATTTGTGAACCTTTCAGCTTAACGCTGTGTCCTCATTGAAGAAAACTGCATAAGAACTATGAACAACCACAACTGACGTCGTGGGCACAAAGCAATCCAAAGAGTGACGCACGCAGGACTTTCACGGTGTTACCCCAAAACCACATTGACGTAGCGAAGACGTGAGACGGAGCACCTGCGTCTCGGCAACGATGAGTCCCTGGCGCGTCGGCTCGCAGTCGACCACGAGCACGGTGTCCCCACCGAAGGCGGCAAGGCTGTCGTCCATGCGACACAGTACGCCGTCGCTCCCGGCACCTCCACCCAGGACCTCCCACAGGTCTGCGCTGTTAAGCTTGGCGTACGCGTCGGGGCTCCTCGCCAGCAACGACACCTTGGTCAGGCGCGGACACCGCACTCCGCACAGAACGTCCACGGCTTGCCCATCTTCCCATCCTCGACGTCGCTTCAAGAAGTCTCTAGTGACAAAGAGCGCGACAGTAGTCCCGGAATACGACAAACTCCGCACTTCGCGATCGTCCACGACCTCGTAGTTGACGAAAAGGCCCGGGTACGTGAGCGAGACGTTTTCGGGAGCCACTAGCGCCAGAGTACCGTCGGTGGTGCCGTCGCCAAGCGACAGCTCGTCGGCGACGTTTCGGCTGATCCTGACATGCAGGCCGTTGCTGTCACAGCTGCCGCTTGAGGCGGAATCGGGCAGTAGACGCAGCTTGGTTCGAACTCGCTTCATTATTGTCGGGCGACCGTGGTTAACCTATAAAACACTACCTCTGAATCCCACGAAGTATCCGACAGAACCGACTTCCTTGTTCAGGGGAGCATTGTGTGCTTTGTTGCGTTGCGTCAGTACTGCCTTTAACGGCCTCCAAGGTAACTTGGTTGTTCAGCGATAGTCTTTACCAACTTGTCAGCGCAAGTAGTTCACACAAAAGATGCGAAGCCACTGAATGAAACTTCGCGCACTTTTTCTCGCGACTCGCACACGCTCAATTCCGAAGAGAAGCAAGTAAAAGCAAAGGAGTTGTTCAAGAACTGGCACTCGTTGTCCGAGTGTGAAGTGTCCAAGCGAGGGTGAGCTAAAAGACAGCTGACAAAATTTCTGGTTTACTGTATCATCGACGAGCTTGTCATTCTGTAACTTCTGTAATCATCCATGGACGGAACCATATTGTGCCATGGTTGCCGCACTGCACCCACTACTTGGCACCACTAAGTTTAGAGGAACGTTGAAGTTTGGGCGAGCTGGTGCATAGTTATAGAGGAGGCTATGGCTGGTGATAGTTCATGTTTACTTATGAAGCAGCGCGAGAAGACAAACACAAAAGGAACCAAAGGAACACCGATGCACTCGCAACTACTTCCCTTGCCTGCCAAATTATCGACGGTCACTTGGGAAGCGGCGGTTATCGGAAACAACGGATCGGAATTACGGCGGTGACGCCACTCAAGTAAGGTTGTCTTCAAATAATTTTCTTACGTTTTTGAAACTCATGTGAAGCAAAATTACGTAAAAATTTTTAAAAGGGCGTAAACGTAATTATGCTTTACTGTATTGTTAATTTAAACCACAGAGAAAGGAGAAGGAACCTTTTCTTCCTCCGTGATTTAAACACTAAAAGAGGTTGTTGGCGGACCTTTTGGTAAGAGGCGCTACTTACGTATGGTACGAAGACGCGCTTTTTAAATGTTGGTGACCACGCGTTAGTATGAGCAGTGGTATGAGTTAGGATTCCACAGTCACTTGTGGGTAACCTATCACTGACAAAGTGTCGATGATAGTGAAGTGAACCGCCATCTTTCACATCAGAATGAAATGTTTAATGCTTTTTGTCGGTCATTATGAGATCAGAAAAAGAAAGAAAAGCAAAAAAGCCCGTCTATTTCTAAAGATTGCGTATTGGCGCTACAAGAAATATTTAAAGCGAAAGAAGCGCGAACTCAGTTTCAGGCATTATTTTTACAACGTGGTTCAGCTGCATTGTGGAGGACACCACGTAGTGGCGTAGCGAGGGGGTGGCAGACCGGGCACGTGCAATCTCCCCTCCCCACTCGTCACGAAATTTACGCTATCATGGAATACCTTGCACAAAATGACACATACTCGACCACATATACCTGCCCAGACTCCATGTCGGATCAAGGGCGTGCCCCCCGCCCCTCCGAAAGAAATTTCTGCCGACGTCACTGACACCGTGTGTGAAAATGCGGTGCTGCCGCTACGGCGACTCTTACGATCATGTCGTGGTTTTGGCATCTGAAATACCACGGGCTATCATGTATCCGTCGATGCACCATGCGATTGCGACGTCACTCTTGAAGCTTTGAAAGACGTGCTATTGTTAGTGATAAATACATTAAGTCATCATGTATCACTCGTCATAGTGATGAAATAAACTGCGATAGGTACATAACAAATAATGCTTTATTATGGGAATAACGTCGGTCGTTGCAGTTCTTCAGTTTCTGTGATGAATCGTGCACACGAACTCACAGACTTGTGATGTGTGTCGTCGATCAAATGTTCATGTCGTGCCCGAAGACCCTTTCGAACCGAAACAAAAAAAAAAGTTCATTAGAGTTTTCAGGAAAAAGAAGCGTTGTAAAGGGAAATCGTTTTACGGGATAGGCGAAGCCTTGGCCGATCCCTCTTTGTGGGTGTGCGCCAGAATAACAAGAATCATCATAATCATCTTAGGCGAATAGTGTGCACGCTTGCCGTTGAGTTTCGGACTCAAGTTCGAGGGCCTGAAAACGTCGACAACACCCGTCTGAGCAGCCGATTGCCGAATCAGTCTGCAGCTCTGCCAGTCGGGCAGACGCCAGTACCAGAATTACCATATACTGCACCACACTCCGAGCCTTCGCTACATCGACACCGCCATGTGTTTTCCTCAACGCACCACGACCTGTCAGCGCCCGACTCAACACACCTAGTACTCTTTGAGACTTCGGTGAGACCCTCGTTATGTATAGGTTGGAAATTTGTTGCCGATATGAATTCTTCTTCTGACCTCTTCCTTTTCATTTTCTTCAACTAAGAAAATCATCGTGTACAAGCGTTCGTTGATCAAGGCAGCTGTAAGGATCTTTGGCCGTGACCCGAAGGATGAAACCATATGTGGTCAGCGTGAAACCGGGATGAAACCGTATGGTCAAGCTGGTATCGCCTAAACGTTTTCGGAACGACGCCATCCTATTTCGCAGCCTCGGGTAAGCGCACAGATTTAGGGTGCAAGAAGATTGTGGGTAGTCGAGCAGTCTGATGAGGCACGCAGTGAGATCTAGGCAAGCAGAACAGTCGAGAGGCTATACGAAGGCACGCCTGGAGCTTGAAACACGAGTTCCAGACAAGAAGGCAACTTTCAGAGGATTCAAGTGCGTTGCTTCATTTGTATCGAATATCTATGAGACATACTACTGCCGCGCGCAGTTCAACCAACTTTGTGTATATGCAGCCTCTGTAAATGGTACTATCAATTTACTTCAACCGCTATCTTTCACGAAGCCATGTCGAACAAAGTAAAAGAGGCTCCATTGGTCTAAACAATACTGCAGGGGAAACTGCGGGGCAGCCCTGCCATTGTCGAGTGCTGACGTGCCGAGGCAGCGACGACAAAGAAGGCAGTGGTGGCGCGATCCGGCCGAGTGAGCGTGGGAATGAAAGAGTTGGTTTTTGTAATGTAGCAGCATTACTAACGTGATAGCGTGCGAGAGCTCGTTTCGCAGAAAATCCGTCGTTGGCGTCCATGACGGCGTCGTTGGATGTGAGCGAAAAATCACCCGTGACCGAAAAACAAAAAAAAAACTGCAAATGAAATTAATAATAAAATTTTTGGTCCGAGTGAGATTTGAGCCCGGACCGTTTGGGTGGGAAGCAGGTGACATGCCACAAAGTCACGGTGATTATGCACATTATATATTGCGTGGCGGAAGCGTAGAATCGCCTCAGGCGTCGAAAGATGTGAATTGCGGAACGAGGGGTTGTTTTCATGCACACCCACTACAAACGTTCAGAGTCGGTGGTTTAAAGCCGGCTTCCCATCATTGCTCCAGGTTTAAAGCGTTCGACCCATTACGGCGCATACCGCAGTGCACAGATTCTCTTGAGCTCACGTAGGGGGTGCATTAGGGGCGAGAAATCGCTATCGCGTTCAACACTCAAAGGCGAAGCTTAAGAGTCCCCCAATTTTTTGTTCTGCTTTTCGCTACAGACGCAAGGTGAACGCAATGTCGCAAGAAAGTCATCGGCTGTGTTTCACTACGAAGACGCACTGATGTCGACGGAAGTCAGGACTGTGGTATTCAAAACGAGGTACGCTCGGTACGCTGAATGCCAGGCGAGCTGTTGGAGATGGCTGTATCGGCATACACGGCCTCATGAAGGTAGCAAAAGCATTTTCCTATGTCACTGACGGGTTTCAGATGTGGCACACTGTGGCATATATGGAATCACCAATGACATCCCCGCCACGGTGGCCTATAGTGGTTATGGCATTCGACTGGTGATCAGAAGGCCACGGGATCGAATCCCGACCATGGCGGCTGCATTTTCGATGGAGGCGAAATTGTTGAGGCCCGTGTGGTTGTAATCAGACGCACATTAAAGAACCCCAGGTGGTCGAAGTCTCTGGATCCTGCCAGCGAGTTGCTTGAATTTCGCGCGCGAGCGACCGGTGCACCCACGCGGAAGGCGGGGCTCAAGAAGCGAACGAGTTCGGGCCGGAGGGTGGTTGTCGTAGTGGTTAGAAGAGGAAGGCGGCAGCACGGAAGGGAGCATGGCGCAGTGCCTGAGTTCAGGGCGAAAGATTGCATGCGTGCCCTCGCTAGGAGACGAGCGGGAGGAGGGCATGGCGCGCGTCGCAGGGAACATAGTAAACTATGTTTCTCTACGGTAATGTGTTTACGACACTAACGAAGAAACAGGTGGTCAGTGTGCGCACAGGTTAGTGATAGTGTTTATGTCTATTCTTTGATTTGATATTAGGGGGATAGCGCGAACGCAGTCCCCCACTACCAAAAATTGCATGCCCCATCTGCCCCAGTTTGGGGTAGTGGCAGGGGTCAGCACGGGCGCAGTGCAATGCCCGCGCCTCACCCTGGGGGCACCGCCTAGTTGATCACGGTGGCCCCGACACCAGGTAAGTATGCCGTAAAAATGTTTTGCACTCGGTGCACACAAATAGCGACCTCCTAGGAAGGGCAAGTGAGCTGCGAACAATGGTGAAACTTTCCTCCTTGTTTCTAACTTCAATGCAAAAACCGTTTGAAATAGTACACCCAGTGAACACGTTCACACAGTCCTGTTAAGTCAAATTGCTTTCGACTTGCATAAATAATAATAAAATGCTTAAAATTTGAGCAAATATAGTGTTTGTAAAGCCAGCAAGAACGTTTTGTACACCGCCAGAGGCGCCACTGCAGTCCACCACAGTCGACATCTAATGACAATTAACAGCACAAACGATTCATCTAACTAGCGTTGCTGAAAAAAACAAAGATCCAATAGGGATCGTTGAAAAGAGAAACATGTTACAGCGTTACCTGGGCAAGCAGAACAAACCAACAAAAAAATTAAAATAAAAAACAAGCAAGAAAAAACTGCGTCGACCGGGAATCGAACCCGGGCCACCCGCGTGGCAGGCGAGTATTCTACCACTGAACCACCGACTTTTTTTTTTTTTTTTTTTGCTGTATTGCCTGTTCACAGGCGCATACATCAAACCACAAGCAGAACAAAAGCAAGCAGTAGCAGTCCGACAGAAATTTAAAATTCCCTAAGTGCTGCCAAGGGCTCCACCCTCGACAACCACTCAGGTAAAATCTCCTCAGTTTTCTGCAGTTCAACATACTTGGCCCATACATTCACGGAAATACATTCGTGCAGGCCGTGCATCCTGATCGCGATAGAAACTCGCCATACGGGCCCGCCATAAACAGTGAAGTCCACATAGCATAATCAAATCAAAAGGCATTCCCTCTTCGACCACTATTGGCAGAAATCTCATACCGTATGAATTTAAAGGTAATTCTTTCTGTAACGCCCTTTGAAGTACATCCCAAAAATATACTCCCTCCCAACAATGTAAGAAAACATGGTCAATATTTTCCGGTTTTTTACAGATAAGGCAATTTGTCCCCCA